GTCCTCCCCGGGCACATACACACATGCATGCACGCACACACGCGCACGCACACACATGCCCCACAACCCTTATTATGGTGGATATGCAGCGAGTGTGAATTGATTGACACAGGTCTTGAAGGCTCCTCTTAATCTTTCTGCCCTCAATGTGCTCCTTTTGCAGGGCCGTTGCTCCAGAGAGAACTGCAAGTATCTTCATCCTCCAACACACTTAAAAACTCAACTAGAAATTAATGGGAGGAACAATTTGATCCAGCAAAAAACTGCAGCAGCGATGCTTGCCCAACAGATGCAATTTATGTTTCCAGGAACTCCGCTGCATCCAGTGGTGAGTGTGCTGTAGCTCAGATGGGCTGGCTGATTGCAGCCTTGGTACAGGAAATGCCACAGTGACCTAACATGGTGTCTCTCACTTTGTCTCTTTGGTTACAAATACAGCAAATAGCTTCGAAATTCAGTAGATGCTGAAAAAGTTATTTTGCAAGTGAAATGAAAAACATACAGAAACCGAAAACAAAGGCAATTTCTAATCCATGTGTGCAAAATATACACTATTCCAACCCTTTCTTGTCAGCAGACTCCATAGCTGAACAATTGTCGAAAGAAACCAGTTCTACACTTTCAATGACAGTGTGGGTTAATTATGTCCAGAGGAGGTTGTGATGTCTAAGATATCTTTAGCAATGTAGCAGAAGTTTGTTTAATTCAGTGGCATCCCTTTACTGTGCAGGAAAGTGGGAAAGGAGAGGTGAGTGGTTTTCAGTGCCACAGAGGAGGTCAGTCGGGATGCTGGGACGTGCGCCCACATGGTCCAGGTAGTATTTTCTGCAGCAGGAGCCAGGTTACAGCTCCATTCAGACAGATGCCAGAGCCCCACCCCAGGAGACTCTGCCTAGCCCTTTGTCAGCCTTGGAGGCCTTCGAGAGCATGGCAACTAGGACAAGGACCCCAAATTAATGACCAGGGAGTAAAAGCCATGCGTATGTATTGTGTAGTGTGTTCTCCAAGAGTGCAGTGTTTGAAGGTTCTAGAAATGAAGCCCTGGGGGAAAGGAGTGCCTCTGACTTTCTTGGGCTTCATTTACATTTGTGAACTATTTGTTAAAAACAAACTAATTTAAAAGAAAACAAAATCAAAATGAGTGAAATTTGGTTCTCTTAAGAAAGTACATGGACAAAGGACTATTATATAAAAATCAGTCTTTATTGTCAGAAGAGTCTGTGTGGTGGCAGGCTGCTGAATTAAAAGAGACAGCTTCCAGGGAGTTACATTTTCTTACTCTGTGCCTGTGAGAAGGGCCGGGGAGGAGGGGGTGGCCAACAGGAAAGGAGGGAATCTGGGCTGATTGCGAGTGAGTCTGCTTATCTTCAGGTTTCTTTACCACCAGCCAGAACTGGTTTTGCACAATTAAAAAAAAAAAAAAAAGCCGAGACAAGAGACTCCAGAATAAGGCCTCCTTTTTGTGGGTCACTCCTTAGTGATACCATTCCTTTTGGGGGCAGACAGACACATAATAAGGTTGTCAGATTGGATGCAGGAAGGCTGCCTGGAGGAGGTCTCAATTATATGGATCCTTCTGCTTTATTTAAAACAATGTACATAAATAATTTAGGGTTTTCTTTTATTGATGCACATATAAATTATGATATTAAATTACCCAAACACTAAAATAATGCAGTCATGCATATTAAGTAGTATCTTTGGCAATAAATTTAGATCCAGCAAGGTGAACATAGTAGCAGGACATTATGTGTCTCTCTCATTTAAGTCAGACACTTCCTATTTATTCAGAATTAATAAGAATTGACCCCAGTACTCAGTGACAGCAGCGTTAATATGAAAACTCCATTCCTATCATTAACTCCTGAGAGTTATGTTTATGTATTGGTCTCAAATACCAATTAGACAGTTAATGATCACCAGCGAGGGAGGGCTGCGGCCAGCGTGGGCTGCATAAGCAAGTGCAAGGCCAGTCTATACCACATAGTGAGATCCTATCTCAAAAAAAAAGTTTCAATATTTAAAAGTTTAAATATTTCAGTATAGGATTTTAAATCACAGAATTTAAAAATTTAAAACAAAAAATGTGACAAGTCTAAAATCATCAATTCTACCAACAAATCACTTCAGAATTTTAAAAATGTTATCCTAGTGCAGCGTAGTTGGCTGAATATTGGCCCTGAAGATTCCTGGATCCTGTACATGTCACCTTTATGGAAACAAGGTCTTTATAGATGTAATTTAAGCATCTTGAGACAGTTCTGTCCTCCTGGATTAATGCAACCACAAGTGTCTTTCTAAGAGACCAGCAGAGGGAGATTTGGCACAGACAAGAGAAAGGCATCATGTCAGCAGTAAAAGAGACAGAGGCTGGATTGATGTGACCACAAGCCAAGAAATGCAAGCAACCAGCAGAAGGTGGAAGAGATGTGGAACAAAGCCTCCCAGGAGCCTCTGGAGGGAGCACGGTGATAACAACAACCTGGTTTGGACCCAGTGAAACTGACTTTGGTCCTCTGGTCTCCAGAACCATGGAAGATAAATGTGTACTATTCTACAAGTTTGTGGTGATTTGTTTACAACTACAAGCAACTTAGTAGATGCAGAATTTACTTAAGAAAAATAAGTTAATAAACTGCAGCAGGAACCACTCCAATTTTAATTCTCTTTCTAGGTTAAACACTTTTAAAGCATTAGGGACATTTTCCACTCCTTCCATCCACCCATCCCTGAACTCCTTCCACTAAAATTTCTCCCTGGTATCCTTCATATTAGCAAACCAGTGGTCACAACAGTCACTATTGGTCTTCACTGTTGCTGTAGCCTGACTGTCTCTCTGCCCATGATTCACATAACCCTAAGCCTAAGGTGACTTGGGTATTTGGAAGGAAAGCCTTTGGGAAGTGACTAGGTCAAGAGGATGGGGCCCTCACAAGTAGGATTAGTGCTTTTCAAATAAGAGACAAGATGCCCTTCTGCCCTGGGAGGACACAACCAGAAATGGCCATGTACAAACCAGGTTGTGAGCCCTCACCATACATTCATTGCCAGTGCCTTGACATTGGAGTTTCCTAGAACTGTAAGAGGTAACGAAAAGTCACCCAATTTATAGTATTTTGTTACAACCACCCAGGAAGACTTAAGACACTTCAATCCAGCCTCTTAGTGATACTCACATGTAACCCAGCTCTTACGTGTGGAATCGGTCTCTCTCTGACCCCCCTCTTTTCTCTGTCTCCTTTGCTCCGGTCATAGTTCTACTGTATGTGGAGGTTTCCAGACTGACTATTTCTATCTGTCCTCTCCTTCATAGTCTCATCTATTCCTGAGTCTTTAAATCATTTTTCAGGCTGAAAACCTCCAAATGCATGCTTCCATCCAACCAGACCTCAAAGCCTCCTGTTTAATACCTCCACCTCCCTACCAGACTCACCTTTAAATCTGTCACATGGAACAGTTGGCCTGAAAGCTTAGTTGACTAAACTGCCTACTTAGGCAGCTCACAGCGGCCAGGGTTTGATCCTTTGCAAGCCGTGCCAGCCCCACCTGTGGGATGCGCTGAGATGGTGACTGAGACTGAGCGTGGTGGTGCACACCTGTAATCCCAGCACTTAGGAGGCTGATAATAAGAGAATCACTACTAGTCCAATCTGTGTGGTGAGACCCTGTAGACTCTGTAGACCCTGTCCTAAATACAGAAAAATAAATAAATAAATTTGTCACATGAGTGTGACATGTATGCCACTAAATTTCCACTTCTATAAGGGACATGATCAACTCACAGTCTCCAACAGAAAGCTGGCTGGCTCTCCCACACATTCTCCAGCACAGTGCTCCAGCATGATCTTCCCTGTCCGTCTTCAGACCCACCCACTTCTCTACCCTGCAGCAGCCTCATCTCAGCCACCATCAACTTTTTCTCAAAACACCTTCTAAGCGTTTCCCTCCTAATCTCTCCATTCCACTCTGGCCTTCCTCTAGTATATCTTTCATACAGCAATCAAGGAATCTTTTAAAAACATTCCCAGGCTCCTGTTCTTCCTTCACTTAAGTTCCTTCAATGCTTTCCTATGTCCCTGAGGACAAAGCTTAAACATTTAACCTTGGCTGTGACCTGGAATGTCTTCTGGATTCTGGTCCCCACCCAGCTCTGGAAAATCAAGCCTTACTGAGGTACTGGGAAAGTAAAGTGGAGAAAGGGAAAAGGAGGAGAGAAGCACAGGAGGTAGAGTGAAGAACAGAGGGAGGAAAGAGCAAGACCAGCATTTCAGAAGCGCTTTTCTTTATGAAGGCTTTCTGCATCCTGTCCTCTAGCCTCTTCTGCTGGGGATTACCTCTGAAAGATGACAGGGACCAAATGGTGCCTGCCTCTGACAGCCTGGCAGCAGCACTTGTGCAGGAACTGCAGGCGTAGTCCAGGCTGGAGATGCTCTGCTTCCAGAATGGAGTCATGGAACAGAGCTGCCCTCCTCTCCTCTCAGGTGCCAAACACGAACCAAGTGCAGGCACCAGGATGTGCTGTTGGCCTTGACTTCATCCCAGGAGATTCGCTTTATTCCAGGATCTAAGTGGCAATTTTCCAAGGCAGCAGGGTTCGTAGTGCTCCATCTGTAGAAGGTCAAGTCAGCTGTAGGATATGCACTTCTCTCTCTAGATGTCCAAAACACACAGGATGCAGGCAAATGGTCTGTTGGGTGTTTTGTCCTCCTGTTCTGTTCTGAGCAACAAAATCTGGGAGTGCAGAAGAGTGGAGGAGTTCCTTAACTTTCTGTGGCCTGGACGAGTACCTCAGAAAACAACTGAAAGGAGAAAATATTTATTTTGATCCATGGTTCTAGACATTTCCGCCCATGACAACCTGCTTCCATTGTTGCTGGGTCTGTAGTGAGGCAGAACATCACGGTAGGGACTGCAGGCTAGAGCAGAGCTCAGCTGCTCACCTCTACTGGCCTGAAGCAGAAAGAGAGAAGGGGCGGGAACAAACTACACGTCAGAGCCCTGTCTGTAGGGACCTTCTCTCTCCAGTTAGCCTTACCTCCAAAAGTCTGCACCGACTTCCAACAGCCCTTTAAGCTATAAATCAACCAATGCATCAACTCATTTCTGAGATCGCAATCCAGCTAAGCCTGCTGCGCTGAGGAGGGAGCCTTCGAAACACAAGCTTTCAGGAGACTTCAAATCCAAGCCAAGCGAGCAAAGGCCCAGTCAGGAAGCCGGAAGTTGTGGATGCTGTGCCTGGACCCCGCCTCTGCAACACTGCCCTTGGGTTGTCCCCTGTGTCTCTCTTACACCCTGCTCTCACCTGTAGTCCACAGAATTCTGTTAGCTTTGCTTCTTGGGGATCTTGAGATTAAAGAAGACAATGTGTGAGAACAAGGCTTTGAAAATCCCAGAATTTTTACAGATGAGTTACAATGTTATGGCCCATAATAAAATAAAGAATACACATCTCAGCAAATTACCATGACTGTATTTTTTTACTAATCAACTTCACTGATAAACACTATATAAAAAGGAAGGCTTCTAATGAGTCTGTGTTGACTAGGTGTATGAACTCTAATTATTTAGTTTTACATGATAGAAAATATTTATTTTCTCAGCTCCTCTTTCAGAAAATAAGAGAAGAAATTTACTCCAGTTTAATTCAATTTTATACATTCTACTTTAGAAGCACTGAGTTTGTACCACAAAAAGTGGAATAGAAGCAACATCTTGTCCAGCAGAATTTTTTCAGCTCAATAGTTTTGCTTCTTTCAGATGAAATACATAAAGCTGAGAGAGATTAATTTCCTTTCCAGGGGAGAAAAAAATGAGGAAATGGCAAAGTACTGATTTGAACTTAGGTCTCTCTCTGCATCTCAAATTTGTATTTTTACTTTTAAATAGCATTATTTCTCTGTGCACTGTGTTATTCCTATCAACAGTAAGGCATACTAGAACATTTGTTTTAGATCATTCAGTCATCTGGACAAGTGATATATGCTTTTGAAGGCAGATGTTGGCTAGTTGAAATAGATTCACTGATATTCAAAAAGGGTTTGGGCAGTGAGTTGTGTGTTTCTCACATACTAATGACACTCAAGGTACAGCCTGCATTTATGTCACCATGCTCAACTGTGGGGACAGAAAGCTAGGAATCTGTTTCGACAGAAAGTCAAAATGGAGATAAGGAGGCTCTTTTCACTAAATATGTACTTCGGTAATTTGTCTCTTAGTTAAATTGCTCATTCAACAGAAGTAGTGCATTAGTGGCAGGGGCCCTCAAATTTGGTCACACATTGACCAAAAATATACTACTTTTTAAAAAAATGTATTTGACACAGGGTCTCGTGGTGCAGCTCAGACTCCTAGTCTGTTCTCAGGCTCCCCACTTCTACATTTTTTAATGAGCATTCCAAGTTCCCTGCCTTGACCTTTTGCATTAGAGTTTATGTCTGCTTTAAACATTCCTCCTAGAGATTTCTGATATAATTGATCCATTGAATTCCTGATGCATTATGATTTATGACTTTTCAGAACTGATGTTGTGAAAAATTCTAACACTACATAGTTACATGCTATTACATCTTTTTTTCCCATAGTAGTAAATTATAAAACCATTACTGAAAAACCACATCTTCCTAGAATTTTGACACAAGTGGATAATGTTCCCATAAAAAATAATTGCAGGGGCTGGAGAGATGGCTCAGTGGTCTAAAGTACCTACTTAGAACAAGCTTAGCAAAGCATCAGGGACTGCAGTTCAATCCCCCAGCACCACATGCCAGCCAGCCCCGCCCCCTGGTGGGCTGAGCTGGTCACACACACACACCACACTCTCTCTCTCTCTCTCTCAAATAAATAAAAAAAAATTAAAAAAAAAATAATTGCAGAAAATCAAAGGAGTAGAGTATCCCACCATCTCCTTCCCACCTAGAGACCTCAGGTTGCAACTTGCTTCCAAGTAAATTTCATGTTTGAGCCATAAGAGTTGTAAGAACTACTCGGTGCAGGACTGAGCAGCAGACTCGAAGGCCTGCATTAGAGTCACTGCTTTCAAGCCTGAGCCACAACAGTGAAGCTTTCAGGCTCACCAGACACTTCCTATACAAACTATCAATAACTGACGATGATCGCTTATAAGTGCTATTCTGTTAATTGTAAAGAAAAATGTGTTTACTAACCATCAGTTGTTAGCCTTGCCATATGCTAAACAGCCCATTCAGAGTCACTAATACACAACAAGAATGTTGCCCATGTTGTATAAATACAGAAGTAACATTCACAGGCAAGAACACAGTTTAATGTTAAAAATTACATTAACATATGATTGCAAATATCTGAAATCTTATCCAGAAGACGAATAAGTTAAAAATCATCCATAACTAAAACTCAGCCAAAATAAAAAACAAGATCCTTTCAGGCCCAATTCGGTTTGAAATGTTTTCAGGAAAAAAGTCTTCAGCATTTTAATTTTTTAAACAATGGTGCTTTAAAGAAAAATCTGCTTTATTGTTCTCTTAAATGCACATGATTTCCTTTCTGAAAGGTATAAATAGTTGCATATTGTTGGAAGAGTATTAAAAATAATCATCTCATCAGCCTACTAGCATATTTCTTCTTATCCCTGGATAATAAAGACAGTAATAGAGAACACATTTAATAGGATACTGGACTCTCTTATTACTGCTGCGTTGATTCTGTGACCTAGGAAACCAAACCAGTTTCTAATGGCCAATTGAGAAATTGGTCAGTTGCAAGTTTCAACCTTTTCCATCCAACCTATCAGGAATAGGAGGTTGGATGGAGACATAGTTGATCTAAAGCCAAAATATAGTAGGTCTACATGAAAAGTGCACAGGAACTTGGGGAGTATACGTGCTAATGATGGAAATGGATATGTTCTGGTGAGTGTGAGGAAAATAATATCCTAAGCAAGCTCTACTTTTTGAACATGTATGAACTTCATCACCTTGAAAATTAGGTGTAATAAAGAACTATTTTTATTGTTTTCCCCTTCAGAACCATGTAAGAGAAATCAAAGTTAATCACTGTGTTCTCCATAGCTGCTTCTGCCTCAATTTGATGTCACTAAATAGCTTGGAATGATGAGTAATTAAGATGGAATATTATTTATTGAGAATATTTTCATTGGAACAAAAATTTAGTATATTCTTTGAAACTAGTGCCCCAAATTTTTGGAGCATTTCCCGTACGTTCTCCCATCTTTTGCATGGTTTTAGAAAATGAGTATTTATGTGGTTTTTGTTTTTATTAAGCAAAACAAAAGGATGTTTAACAAAACTTTTACAGTTTGCCATTGAACAACTAACAAATATTACCATGTGCAATGAAAACATGAATAAATTTTGCTCAAATAATACTTGGTAATTTTTTAAATTGCTGCTCTAATGACGCTGGTAATTTTTTAAAATTTTATTCTGAAGAAATCCTTTTCCTGTGTTGTCTTCCTTTAACAGCCCACTTTTCCTGTAGGTCCCGCCATAGGGACAAATACGGCTATTAGCTTTGCTCCTTACCTAGCACCTGTAACCCCTGGAGTTGGGTTAGTCCCAACGGAAATTCTGCCTACCACGCCCGTTATTGTTCCCGGAAGTCCACCGGTCACTGTCCCGGGCTCAACTGCAACTCAGAAACTTCTCAGGACTGACAAACTGGAGGTACTCCTATTATGTTTGTATTTTGAGATGCATTTGTGGTAGTATTATATAAGAGAATGTTTGGGATAATTCAGTTCTCCCCCAAAACACATGCATACACATATGCACTGTGAGCCAATAACTGTGTATTCCTAGTTCAATGACTTGAAATTAATTCCAAGTATAAAGAAAATTAGTATATGGAAAAATAATAACTAATCAAGCAAACGTCAGCTGCATAGAAAATGTGTTGAAGGACCAAATATTGAGTAGCCAACAGAATATCGAATCAGTCACAAAGCAAGCCACAGGGATGGCTCCAAGTCCTGATAGCATCCTGCTTTGCCCCGCATTCATACATTTATAAATGTGATCCTAGAGCTGTGATTCTAGAACTAAATTCTAGAAAGTTTGGGAAATGGTCAAGAGCCCAATTATTACGACAATGGGAGATACACAGCATGGTGATAAATGGGACTACAGCTATTAACCATTGGTATAATCAGATTTCAGTATTTTAAGAACAATTATGGCAAATCTAGTATGTTCCAGAATATTAGCCCTGATGGTTTTGTTCATAAACAGAAGGAATTGGAGGCTGGGTAAATTTAGTTATTAATTGAAATATTTTCTTGAACTTCAAGTATTCCATAAAATTCAAGAAAACAAGCTTATATATTTGTAAAACACCACTTCTTGAGTTGTAAATTAATTTCTGTACGTTGTTGAGTAAAATTTCCTTCTAATCAGAGCTAGAGAATTCATCCATTAACCATACTTCAGTATTACTATGATATTCATAAGATCATCTGTGTGTACAAAGATTCAAAGAGATTTTTCAAAGACCTCCTTTAATCCCATTATTGATTTAAGTTGTAGGTGATCTATACATCCTTAGAATATTGGATCATTTAGAGAATATTCTTCCAGTGTACATTAAATATTAACTCAATAAACCTTAAGAGCAACAAAATATTTGCTGCCTAATATCCTGTGAATGTTTTACAACTCAGAATGTCAAACTGCAAATAATTTTAAAGATGTATTCCTTGTACTCAGCTTCTATTTGAAGTATATGGACCTCTAGATGAAGAGAATTTAAACCTAGCTTATCCCCAGGAACATGGAATAAACGTGTTAGGGGACTGGAAAAGTGTTCTGGGCTCCACCTGCTGGGGCCAAACACAGTTTAGTGCTCATTGTGTGACTGTTGCAGAAATCAAATTAAATTAGAGGAGTTAGGAACAAATAGTCCTTTCCAGCAGGGCTGGAAGACAAAGACATACTGAAAAGTTATTCACAACTATAGCAGAGTAGCTTTCTGTTCATTTCAAATCACAAACAAAGCCAGCTGCACCCAGACACCCGGGTAAATGCCTGTCTACACCTGTGAGGCTGTCATGGACAGGAATCATTCCATTTGTGAAGAAAGGCTTACTTAGGGTCTGCGTGAACATCTTAGTAATTTTCACCTTGTACATTTTATGATCTAAAGATGGAAATCCCAAAATAAGAGAAAATCATAAACAACCTTGTGACTTACCCTGTTCACCCTTTGACCTCACATGGTCACTGATCGGAGAACTAATGTCCCCAAGGACGTTTGACATTCACATAAGACTGAGATTTTGTGTTACTGACCTTCATGAAGTGTCCCAGGTAACCAACATGTGAACTACCACTTACATATGTTGACAGAGGAAATGAAATCTAAGAAGAGATAACTTAATTCCACTTGCAATTCTGCCAGTTATTTATCTTATTTTATGTTCCCTGTGTTCAGGCCACAATGAACAATGCTCTTCACGTTCTAAAAAAATACTTTTATACAGTGAAATTTTGATCTTCCAAAATTCCCGAAGGATGGAGAATTTTATCTACTAGACATATCAGGAGAGTTAAGAATTAAAGAGATTTTGAAAATCAACACTTCTAACTCGATTGCACTTCTTTCCATTTACTTATTAGTCTTTCTCTCTTACCATATTTTTCTCCTTTTATCTTTTACTTTTATGTTTCTGTTTGGACTGTCAAAAACGACATAGTGACCTTACAACGCAAGCTCTGGTCGTAAGGGAGATGGGCTGCTACAGGCTTCAGCTGACTTTGTAGAGCAAGGAGAAGGTGCGAGAAGCAGGCACTTTCCACCCTCAGAATGAGCAGTACGCTCCGGCATTTCCTGCGGGGTTGAAATTATTGCTCCATGAAAAACAAAAGCAAAAGCAAAACAATAACAGTAACAATCCCTATCGCACTGGAAGAGACAGAGAAAATGTCGGGCTATGCTACTGGGGAAAAAAGAAGCTTTATTGACTTTGTTGTTGTTGTTGTTGTTGTTGTTGTTGTTATTTTAGCTAAACTACGAGGTTTAGGTTAATTTCTCAATTTCGATACTCGTCCTAGAAAAAAAAAATGCAGAACGGAACTCGAGCTGTCTCTGCCACTGCCAGCCGTTGTGGTTCCCTGAGTTCCGCGTAATGCAAATGGTGTTCTCCCAGGCGCTAGAGCCACCCGCGCAGAAGGGAAGGAAAGGCGCCTTCCCGGTGGCCCGGCTCCGCAGCGCTCTTCTCCCTTGTCCCAGGTATGCAGGGAATTCCAGAGAGGAAACTGTGCCCGGGGAGAGACCGACTGCCGCTTTGCACACCCCGCAGACAGCACCATGATCGACACAAACGACAACACCGTAACCGTTTGTATGGATTACATAAAGGGGCGTTGCATGAGGGAGAAATGCAAATATTTTCACCCTCCTGCACACTTGCAGGCCAAAATCAAAGCTGCGCAGCACCAAGCCAACCAAGCTGCGGTGGCCGCCCAGGCAGCCGCGGCCGCGGCCACAGTCATGGTAAGTGCGGCCGCCCGCCGCCCGCGCCGCCGCCAAGCTCGCCCGCGGGGAGGCGGCGCTTCCGCGCTCGGACCCAGACGCTCGCCACCCTCGGGCCCTGGAGGGCTGCTACCCCCGCTGCTCCGCTGCCTAAGTTTCGTTGTTGTTTTTCCCCCTCTCGTTCTGTTTGTTTTCCCCTCCTTTTCCTTCTCCAGCACAATAAATAAATCCCTAAGGCATAGGGAACCCAGTGAGGTCGTTGGGCTCTGTGCACACCCAGTGCTGCTCTGAACTGGGGTCCTCCGAAGATCGGGGCCCCCGGGAGCTGGGAAAGAACAAGCCTGTGGACACCGAGCTTGGGCACAGCGAGGAAAGGACAGGCCGTCGAAGCCCGCAGTGCCAGTGGCAGGCAAGGAGGAGACTCAGTTCAGTGATGCCTAGCAACAAGTGACCCCGCCAGAGACTGGCTCCAGCCTGTTCCAACACTAGCTCTCTCTCCTTCATCTCTCTCTCTCTGTCTGTCTCTCTCTCTCTGTCTCTCTCTCTCTCTGTCTCTCTCTCTCTCTCTGTCTCTCTCCCCCTCTGTCTCTCTCCCCCTCCCTCCCTCCCTCTCTCCCCACCATGGACAGTGCTGCTCAGCAGCTACACCCCAACCTCCAGTTACATTTCATTACAACAAATTCATGAAGCTCATGAAAATGGATGGTAGGGTGCTGGGAGATGCTACACCACACAATGGAGCTCAGAACCCAGGCTGCCTCCTTGCTTCTCCTTTTTGTCCCTTAGAGACCAGTGGCAGCAGCGGCCCTGTCTTCATCTAGGAGGCTGTTACTGCTCCCAAAGCCTGGAGAGCCCAGAGCTCCCAGGGCCACCAGGAGCTCCACCCTTACATCACCTGGGCGCCTGTTAAACCTCCCAAGTCTCAGACCTCCCAGTAAATTTGGGGAGATCAGAATTTTAATTTTAAAACACTGCCAGGGATTTCTGTTTACGATTTAATGTTTGAGGATCACATGCCTAGAACCCTGCATCCCATATTGGCTACATTTGGGGTTGTGAAGCATCTGACATTTTGATTCCTTCTCCCAAAGCTACTGATTTAATTGTCTGCTGTGGCTTGGGAAGTGGCGTTTCCTTTAATCCTCTCAAGTGATTCCAATACACCTCAGAGCTGAGAACCTTTGCACTAGGTTACAGATATTTTTAATTAAGTTGTTTTAGATTGAGATGTGGCTTACCAGAAATCTACGTTAGTAAATTCACAGTGCATCCATTCATTCCAGATAATGAGTCCTGCTTTGTATCAAACCCTTACTGGGTAGGAGAACTAAGGCAGGCTTTCATACCCACAGAGAGTTCAGTGATAGAAGTCATTTCGCTCCTCTGTGATATGATGGACAGGCAGGGTGGGCCCGGCAGGTTGGGAAGGACTCAGTGTCCTGTTGTCCCTTGGGAAGGATAGAGGTGTCATCTGAAAACATATTATTCTAACCAGCTAGCAACCATGGCCTCATACCCTGACCACCGGCCAAAGTGGAGCAGTAGCTGTCACATAAACTAGTTCATCCTCATTTGACATTGTATTTACCAGGGTTTGGCAAGGCTTGGACCTGTGATGAGCCATAGGGCTGCAGAGAGGCAGGAACAGAGGCTGCCCAGAGAAAATCACAACTCAGGGAGTTTGTGGTCCTACAGATCTTTCTCATCTGAGCTCATCTCGGTGCATCTTGAGAAGGTCTCTCATTGTTGGTTTTGTTTTCTCAGAGATCTTGAACACTTCTGGAGTTGTTTCCTCTTGTCCTCCTCTTTCTTATGCCATTGGCCATTACACTATTTTCTAAGCTCCTATATGTGTGGGCTGGTATGGGTCCACACAAGAAATATAGATAAATTCACCCTTTAGAATGTAAAAAAAAAAAAAAAAAAAGTTTCTAAAACTTGTTGTACTTGGAGACAAGAAGGATGGAAAGATGAATGCATAATGTTGATTCCATCTTGATGGAAAAGAAATTCCTTTAGAGTACTGAGGACTCTCGTCCAAAGTGAAATCTATTTTATCAGCCACTTAGTGAAGGTCTCAGTCCATGAGAAAATTTCTTTTTCATTGCAACTTTTTTTCAACTCAGCCCAGCTTTTCCTGAGGACTTGTTTCTCCATAAGGTTCCCATTGCCAACCATAACATAAACCACAGGTGTACTGGATGTTCCTGAGACTAGCCACAACTCTAATCCAAGAGACAAATGCCCCATGAAAGTGGCTTAAATGAAACACTTGAATATTACCAGATGATGTTGTTCACAAAGGGGAAGTAAGGCTCAAGATCAGCTGTGGCCAGGAACATGAAATTCAGGTGGTGCCTCTCTTCTGTTTCTTCCCACCTCCCTTGATACATAGCTACTCTTGTTAAGTCAGCTTCTCTCCTCCATAACATAGACCATGGCTGTGGATACCTACAGGTACCAATCCTTTCATTTCTTAACAAGACAGAAACTAGTATCTTCTCCATCATATCTAATGGGCAACGATAGTTACACGTCCTTTGGGGACTTTCAGAGTGACAGGACCTACAGTAGAGACAGCCTGAATCTCAGTGGCCACTTCTTATCACTCGGGTATAAGATGAGGTTCTGGGAATATGAAAACTCCAGGACCTATAACTCAGAGAGCTATTCAGAGAAAATCATGATACTCCCAGTGACTTTCGGAGTGGGCCTTGATTTTTATCTGCCCGTTTTCTAGAAGTACTAATTCTAACATTCATAATCAGTACATATTTCAGTCGTTTAAGGAACAATACATCTAGCATGTGCCCATAATATGTGACCCAGGCTGGTGGCGCCAAGGGCAGAAGTGGCCATTTACACAAATAGGTCATCCCTTGGCCTACATAATCGGCCTCAGCTGCGCGCTGCTGTGGGCGCTCCTACACACTTTCTCACTGCGCTCACCAGGCCGCATAAAGGTTACTGCAGTGGGTGCCAGCAGCAGTAGTTACCACAGTTCCTCGGATTGCTACACCATGCCCAAATTTGGAGTTCTGAGAAGTCACAGAATTTGTGGCATCTTCAGAGACAACCCAAAAGAATGTAGCTTCAGAACAAAAGCTAGTTTCTCTCTGACAATGACATGAAAATTACTGAACCTGTCATGCCTTTTTAGTTAAAGTGAGAATCACATTTAAAACTAGCCTAGGTACAGTTAGATAAAGTATTCCTACCCTAGTAGCAAGATTACCCAATACATCGAAGGAAAACTATTATTTTATTTCCTTATTTGAAAACACAAATGGGAGCAATGATTGCAGCTAAAAGATATTAATATTCCATTCACCTGGCTTCCACATTTGAATTCAATGTATTTCCATGGCGCAATTTTTATTATTGTCTGGGGATTTTCCCCTTATTTTGATTAATCAAAATTTAAAACTTTGACTCCAGAAAAAGACATTTATTTCCTTTTGAGTGTGATTCTTTTACAATACCTCTTAAAACACAAGCGTCACCCTTGCTAGGATTTTTAAAATGTGAAAATAAGTCAGAGTTCTCTTTGGTAGTTTTAACACAAAGAGTATTTGATCTGCGTGCATACAGTCTCTGTTCACAGACACCAAAATGGGGCAACACAAGGAGAGAGCCAGTCTGCAGAAGGAAACAGGACGAGCTGCAGTCAGCCAGACAAGTGTCCATTGTTCAAGAAAACATGCACGGGAACTTTGAATTCCAACCTGCTCATCCACATCCTTTTATCCCATTTTAAAGTAGCAGCTCTGATTATTTTTGTCAGACCAAATTTCCAGTTTGGTCTCTGTCTGTATTGCCGGGTGTGGGGCCATGGTTTGCTAATGTTTACCTGCAGTGGGCCTGCTCCTCAATCCAGAAAAGGGAAGCCCATGCCCATAGGACTGCCTCCTAGTCATGTAGCCATATATATAGAGATGGAGGAGCTCAAAGCTAGCAGAAAGTCATAAGTGTTGCAGAGGCAAGAACAGAGGCTGCCACAAGAGTGACACAAAGTAGGGTTTCAACTAAGAGGAACCCAGTCCTCTGCTTTAAAAAGACTCCTAGCATACATGGGATTCCTTGATCTCTAAGATTGGATCTGAGCCTGAAGATCTCTCAGTGTAGGCAAACATACCAGTTATCAAACAATCTCAGCCAAACCAGAAGTCTGTGTAGTAGAAAGCCATATTGTCACATGATTAGTCATCCATAGAGATTTTGCAAGTATGTTCTACACATGTGCTTCAGAGAGAGTGGCGTGATTAATCTGATTAAGTGTGCTCTTCCCTGCAAGACTTTAGAGTTTACTTGGGAGGAAAATATCTGCATCCGATAAAGCACACTATGCACTATGCATTGGAAGAGACGTGATGCCCCCTTCCTGCTCCATACGCTCAGTGTCTTTATTCTCCTGGATGATTCTAAATTCTATGAAGATTAGATTTCAACAAAGTAAAGGAAAAGAATATTAATCTTCCAGAGGACTAGCCTAAAAAGAAATGTTTAATATTTCTTATTGTGCTTGCAGACATCATTAAATGATACTTTGTTAAATCAAAAATTTTGTTTGGAAATAACAGCTTTTATAGTCTCCTCTACTCAGCCTGTCTGAAAAGATCCACAATATAGCTTTTTAATCCTGTACATTCTAAGGACTGGAAAAATATTGAATCAATAAAGTTGAGACCAAAATGATTTTGAATTTAACCATGTAGTGTTCTCAGTGTTCTCCATTAGAATAGGCTATGGAGCTTTCCTTAGTTCACACAGCGTAGTTGGGGCTCAGAAAACCCAACAGAGCCCTGTGTTATATAACAACATAAAATTATGTGGGATGAAAGGGTTTAGATGAACATGACATCATAGAAATGATGTAATGGTGACCTCACACATGAGGGGAGTGGGTCTAGAAGCAGGCTTACTGAGTTCCTTGAGTTGTTCTTGGTTTGGTTTTAGTGTTCATAATTTTACTTTCCTAACATTGATGTCATATGCTTTGGTAGCCTCCATCAAAACTACCTTCCCAAGTACTTCCCATCATTGTGCACTACAAATCCCATTCCTTCCCATGGGCCTTCCTACTTTATTTTGAATCTCTCACTCTGGCAGATAACTCTTTACCTATCATCTTCATAGTGTTTTAATCCTGAATCATGAAATGATGATAAGCAACCATGTATTTGCCATGGAAAATATCATTAATTATTCCCATTTCAAGGATTTCACCCTGTCCCATTTTATTTCAAAGCCCATAGTTCTACTTCAGAATTTGAGAATAGAAAGTTTTAATTTTGAGACAAACCTTAGGGATTTATCTATTGTGCTAAACAGAAAAGGGATATTTCATTTTTATTTGCATTGGAGCTCTTCCTTTGAATTTATTTTCACAGAATTCCATTACAGAAGTTTTAGATTTTTAATAGTAATTAATAAGGAATAGGAAAAATTTTGTTGTGGTCTAAATCAATCCATATTTGTTATTATTTCAGTTAAGTGAAACTATCTTCCCGAAGTGTGGTTATAAGTTAAGGATATTCTTTTACTTCTCATCTTTAAGCAGTATTTGCTACTTTTAGTAATTGTACTTGCTCTAGCCAAGATTTCCACTTCTTATTAATTGGTTTGATTACTAATTATAGCTAAAAGTACAAATAGAATTACAAAGTAGAAATTAGTCTGATACTCAAGGACACTAAATACCTTTTTAAAGGGTATCTTTTAGTGTAATCCGGTAAGTTGCTTGAGATGAATTAAATTATAATTTGAAATGTAGTAGAAAACAGGATGGATGATAAGTTAGTCATTAGAAACAGGAAAACCAAAAGTGAGAAATTTCTGAAAACTCATTATTTAAATCAAAACTTATTAAGTTTGGGACCTTAGTCCATCATTTAAGACCCACACTAGCAGAGTGAAGGAAAGAATTGAGACAATTATCCACATGATTCAGACAAAAAAAAAAATGATCCAAACTCAAACAGTTTTGCCTAAATAATCTTGTGTTTGAATATTTTTTTGCCTGAATATTTTGTCTCAGTTTGCTGCTTCATCTTGCTGGCTTAGATCTGGAATCAAACATTATTTTTATGAAAAATTTCAACTTGGATGGAACTTAATACCTTCATTATTTTTGAATATTTGAAAACTAACTTATCAGAAGTTCTTCAATCCGATGGCCCTTACAAGTTTTGCATTTTTTTCTGAAGCAATATAAAAAATGCTTATGGTGTGTATGCGAGCTGCTGTTTTAATTAACTTTCCTGAATTTCAAACATCTATATTTTACTCTCTTATATGCTTTTAACTAAGGTATAGTAGATGCATTTTTGCTTCAATACTAATTTAAGGTGTAATATTCATTTCTTTAGAGAACATTTTTGTTGTTGTGCATGCCTAGTGTTTTGTACGTTGTATATTGCATTCAGAATATTTTTTTCCTTCTCACCTATCCACAATGCAATGCCGTTCCCATGATGCACCTCTGCTTGCTGTTTACCTGTATGTTAATTCGCTTGAATCCCATTGGCCCACTGCCATCATGTGCTCGCTGCCTGTTATTAAAAGACTCAGTCGACTGCCAAAGCAATGAAGCGACCTCTCGAAGCAACTGTAGACCTGGTACTTTGACCTTTCACCTTTCGCTTTGCATGTAGCTTTTCAGAGAACCATCTGAGATTTGTATTACTTGTAAAATATTGGTTGCAAACAATCATTATTAATTTAAAGACAAAATTCAATAAGGTGTTTAGTCATTTCATTTTCATATGTAATCTGTGAAATAAATTAATCCTAACAAATTTTAATACCTTTTCCAAAAGAGTGAAGCAAATTTAAATTACTTGGCCCAGAAAAAAGCTTATAATTCTTATTAACCTTTAAATTCAAGAAATTGCCATTTAAAGAATAGGTATTAATAACACCAGTGCTTCTTTCTCCTTCCCGTAGAATAGTTTAACCCATTTAAAAAGCTGAAGCCATTTTTTTCGTTGTTGTTGCTTGATAGTTTTTCTTTTCCTTAGTTGAGATGCTACTGTTTTGGGTTACAGAAATCATGCTTTCGCTCTCAGTAACAAATTCTCACTCATTCGACATTGCCGCTGTTTAAATTAAGGTGCATGGCAGAGGCATCTCCTTAGCTGTCATTTTTTTTATATATATATATAAAAGAATGTTGCAATTGATGACCTCTGTGGACACGGAAAGCTTGTTTCCTTTAAGTTCGACATATCTTATTGAATTCTGCATTCCCAGGCCTTTCCTCCCGGTGCTCTTCACCCCTTACCAAAGAGACAAGCACTTGAAAAAAGCAACGGTGCCAGCCCGGTCTTCAACCCCAGCGTCTTGCACTACCAGCAGGCCCTGACCAGCGCGCAGTTGCAGCAGCACACGGCGTTCATCCCCACAGGTACGTGCCCTGGCCACCCCAGTCCATGTCCTCGTGTCCTTCCGGTCATTGCTTTCTTCTCATTTCTTTAAGCTGTCTGGTGGAATCTAGTTTGCCTTCCCAGGTCCAAGACAGCCTGAAATGTAGCACTGTCATAGACACCTAGACAGATTGTCCTTGCTTTGCTAGCTAAAGACTGAGGATTCTAAAGCCAAATATTTGATAGGGCTGAGTGACAGAGTCCACCCCCAAGAAAAGGAGAGAGTCAGGGCTTCTGGTTTTTCTTGTACTCAAACAAAGCCTGTAAAATTGTTCATATAAATAAGGCCTTTTACGTGTGCCAGTTGAAATTTGTCCCTAACACTGAATGACCTAAAATTATCAAGTCCAGTAATACTAACCTTTTTATTTTCTATTTCTATTCAGAACACTAAAAAAAGCTATTCAAATTAAAGCAATCCTCTGCTCATATTTTTATATCCATTCTATCTCTTTTTTCCATCTGCCTCAGCTTTCACTCAGTTCGCCAGTCTGTAGAGCCTTTAGCCAATGCCTGATGATCTGAGGAGCATTAACTGACTACTTCACTGAGATCAATTATACTAATCATAAAATCACAGAGTGTGAAGGATTCGTAGTGGTCTCCTCATCCAGATGTTTTACAGATGAGAAAACTGAGGCCCCCTCCAAGAGAAGTGACTTTCCAAGGCAGCACAGCTGAGGGAAGCTGTGGAAGCTAGGTGCCCCGGGCTGGGCCAGCTCACGTGCAGGACACCACGCACCCGGTCTCCAGGCGTGGATGCCACATGCTTCTCCACAATGTTCGGATCACAGTAGATTTTTTAAAATATAGCAAAACAGAACACCTACAGGTGAAGAAATAAAAGTATAAGGCATGTCAGTTCTCTCCCTTTTGACTACATTGTTGACCATACATAGACAGACAGACAGACAGACAGACAGACAGACAGACACACACACACACACACACACTACACAGACCTGACTGTGGATTTCGCCTGTTAGTTAGTGTTAGAAGCAGAAGAGATTTAAACCTCGGTGGGAAGACCATCTGTTAAGCCTTTTATTTCAAAGTCAAAAGTCCCCATCCCATGACAGTGAGCAGAAGGTAAATATAGGTGAAGAACATTTCATTAATAATTTTATTGATCTTGATCCATGTGATTGGACTTTTCCAGTGGATTATTCCTTCTTTCAAATTCCACAGCAAATCAAGACTTAAGACTAGAGGGAGCTAAATAAATATCCATGATACTTTGTGTTATAACCATACTGTTACATGAGTCAGTAACCACTAAACAACTATATTTATTGTATGAAAACTATAAATTAGATAAGAAAATTAAAATTTTCCTAAACTTATCTTAAAAGAAACTCATAGAGTTATAAAGGGACTCTAATTCAGCACATGGAAGTTTGGCTGTATTGTGGCCTTAGTTAGCGACATTCCATGCTGTTGTAGCACAGCAATATTTGTACCTGCAACCTACCTAAGAATCATGTAATCATTAAATAATCATGGAAGGTCAGCTTACCCTGAGTAGATCTCTTAACCACGAGTTTAAGGGACAGAAACATTAAGGAAGAATATACTAAGGAGAAAAGCATGAAAGGACACACCTGCTTTGGCAACATAGTTCTTACTGTCCTTACCATCTTCTGGGAACGCACCCAGGAGCTCAGCCTCATAAGACTTTTGAAGCCCTTGTATGCATGTTTCACACTCCCAGCCAGCAATAACTGATTGGTTAAATCACTGAAAGAATCTTCACTTAAAAACAGTTCGCCTAGAAGCCACTCAAATATTTCCAAAGCAAGGATGAATAATACCCAAATCCATCGCCTGACTGCGGTTGATGAAACATAGTGTGTCATGGCCCCTAGTAGGTGTTAGCAGCTGTGGTTGTGCGCTGCTGCCCTCTGGTGGATTCTGTTGGAACAGCTCGGGATTTGAAAGCCAGCGTGGGTCCCGGCCACTATCCTGGGCACTTGAAGGAAGTCACGTGGTGCAGAGATCACTGTGAAAAGATGCGCACGTGTTGTGTTCTGAAATGACGTTTAAACTTTGAAGAAATGTTTACATTTCTTTTAAATGGTGAGAGAGAAAATAATTTTATTAAAAGGAAATTAGCATGCTCTTCACTGAAATCTGTAAAAGAAATTTCAGTGTTCGTGTTAGGTCACATTTTTCTTTCAGAGTTTCTTTCTTATAAACCACATTTTCAATTTGATTTTAAAAGTAATAATAATAATCATCATCATTAATAGTGGTTGTTTTTAAATCTCTGATGTTCCAGAATAATTTTTGTAACTTGGCAGCTGGTGGGCCCACCATTTTTACATGGACAGATTTTCCATTTTTCTGGAAATGGTTCACATAAACAATTACCATAAATGAAGGGAAGCACATATTTTTAACCTTCAGAGGTTATCCTTTATTGGAAGGTCATTCATAGCAATGTTTCTGAAAAGCTACCTGAACTCTGCCACACAGTGTGAATCTCCCTTCAAGCTATAAAGGGCTTTAACATCACAAAAAAAATACATTCTTCTCTAAAGCCATACTTGGATAATTATTGCCCTGGTTGATAGCTTACCATGCTTTCTTTTTTAATTATTATTTATTTTTTAAATTTTTTTGGCAGAA